ATGGTGATTTCGAGGTCAGGTTCCATTACAGAACCTGTAAGGCCAGCCTGGCCATGTGAGACTCAGTTCCAAATCCACCCTCAACTCCCGAAAAGTAATTATTTAAGGAATCCACCCTTGTCCATGGCCCTGTTTAAGGCACAGAAGAAGAGAAGAGTGCTGTAGTTTGCATGGGATTGGATGGTTTGACCCACAGTTGCCTCATGGTAGACACTTAGCAAAAAGTGTTGGGAGTAGAGGCTTTAGGTGGTAGGGTCTATAGGGAAGTAACTGGGCCATTGAGGGTGATGCTCTTGGGGAAAATAAAATTCTCTCAAGAACCTGGCTAGTGCTGTCAAAGGGGTTGTGCTGGCCAGTTTTATATCAACTTGGCATAGCTAGAATTATCTGAAAGGAGAGAACTTCAATTAAGAAAATGATTCAATAAGATTGGGCTATAGGTCAGCCTGTGGGGCATTTTCTTAATTAGTGATTGATGCTGGGGTGGGGGTGTGGGCAGGGGGGTCAGCCTGTGTGGGTGGTTCCATTCCTGGGCTGGTGATCTTGGGTTCTTTAAGAAAGCATGTTGAACAAGCCACGATGAACAAGCCAGTAAGCAGCATCCCTTCATGGCCACTGCTTCAGCTCCTGCTTGCCCTGTTTGAGTTCCTGTCTGGATGATGAACAGTGATATGGGTACTTAAGGGAAAATAAACCCTTTCCTTCCTAAGATGCTTTGTTCATGGCGTTTCATTATAGCAATAGCAACCCTAACTAAGACAGGAGCTTTTTGTTTACTGTTTTTGTTTTTGTTTTGTTTTGAGACAGGATTTCTCTGTGTAGCACTGGCTGTCCTAGAACTCGCTCTGTATACGGCTGGCCTTGAAGTCAGAGATCCAGCTGTATCTGCTTCCCAAGTGCAGGGATGAAAGACATGTGCTCACAGGATCTTCAAACATGGGTCTTCCTAAATACTCCCTGCCTCGTTTAATGTGTCATCCTACAATTGCTCCCCCTCACCACCATGCCATCTACTAAGATGAAATGCAGCCAGAAAGTGTTCCACAGAGCCTTCAAAACCTGAGGTATTTATTTTATTTTTTATTTTCTTTATAAAGAACCTAGCCAGGATCTGTGGAGCTTGATCAGTCATTGAAGTGTCTGACACACAAGCATGAAGACCTAAGTTTGGATCCCCAGTGCCAGTGGTGTGTGTGTGTGTGTGTGTGTGTGTGTGTGTGTGTGTGTGTGTGTTAGAAAAGACAGGCAGATCCCTGAAGCTCATTGGCTGGAAAGTCTAGTCAAATAATAAGTAAGTTTAATGAGAGAGATTGTCTCAAAAATAAAGATAGGAGTTAGAGAGATGGCTAAGTAATCAATAGTAGGTATGGCCCCTACAGAGGACCCAAGTTTAGTTCCTAGAACCCACATAAGGTGGCTAAAAACTCCTTTGATTCCAACTCTAGGGGTATCTGATACCTCCAGCCTGCCTCCATCGGCACCAGGACACAAGTTTACATATCCATACACAGACATACACACAGACACATAATTAAACATAAAATAAATCTTCAAAAAATAAAAGTGATCTTGGAAAGCTACCAGATGATGACCTCTGGTCTCCAAACACATGCTCATACATGCACATGCATCTATGTACACATATACACACCCATATGAACATATACAAGAATGTGTACACACACAGACACACACACACACATGAAAACCTAACAAGGGGCATTCTGTTACAGTAATGGAAAACAGAATAATACATACAGTGACAAGAAGACTCTCAAGAAGATACTAAGTTGGTTTGCATTAGGATAATGAAGAGGAGGAGGGGTGGGGTGTAAGAGGCTAGGATGGAATGAGGTCACCACTGAAATTATTGGCATTGATAAGCTATGTAATGCTTCTTTCCATCATTTCTAAGAAGTTAATCTTTTAAATTTTGTTATTACTCTGTATATGTGTGCACACATGAACACACACACACCTATGCGCCCCCTCACAAGGGCACATATGCCAAGGCACACATGTGCCAGTTAGAGGACAGTTTTGTGGATTGGTTTTCCCCTTTCACTTTTACATAGGCCTCAGGGATTGAGCTCAGGCCATTAGGCTCGTATTTTGAGAACATTTTGAGTATGGTAAGCGCCTTTATCTGCTGAACCATCTCATCAGCCCTTCATCCTAAGAATGTCTATGTTTACATTTTCCATAATAAAAAAGTTTTGCTGATTAGGTTTTGTGTTTTAAAGAATGCCAGCATTAATCTTGTCTATGGAGAAATGCAATCCAGGAAACTTCTCAACAGCTCCTCAAACCAGACTTAATAAAACACAGTTCTCTTTAAATTTGCTTGAATTTCTTCAATGGAAACCCCCGTGCTACACATAAATTGCTTGTATTTTAATCAAGAAGATAAAAAATATGAATTTAAGCAATTGTGGAAATTTGATTAGCAGTGTGACTTAGAGGCTAAATCATTCCCCAGTGATGAGTGTCACTGGGCCCTTTGCTTTGGTGCTGACTTACAAGTGACATGATGTGGGCATCTAACTAGCCACACTTACCTTTTGCTATTTGAATGTATTTCATTTCCTCGGATTTTGCTGAGGTTTAACTTCATTACTTATGGGTCTATGTGCCCATGTATGTGTGTACATGTCCATATATATGTGCATTTAAGTATGGAGGCCAGGGGCCAACATCTGGCATCTTCCTAAATGGTTCCCCACCTTACTTTTTGAGACAGGAGCGCTCACTGAACCTAAAGACTCCGGTCTCCTCCGCCTTGGCTCTGGGATCATTGGCATTTGTGGTTGCATTCTACTTTTTATGTGATCTCTACAGACTGTACTCAGGTCATTGTGTTGGCACAAGTGCTTGACCAACGGAGCTGTCCTCCCAGTCTACAAAGGGTTAACCTTTACCATCGTTTTGCCTTTTGAGAATGAAATAAAATTATTAGTAGCCTGAAAGACCAGCTCTCAAGGCTACACCCAAATTTCAAAGAAAAGCTCCACAGAGAAGCAAAACTGAACTGAAGGTTTTTCTATCTGAAGGGTACGGAATAAATTCACATATGTACTCTTCTGGTCATGCTCCTTAATATTCTATTTTTCTGTCCTCTAAATTTCTTCTAAGTTCTAATTCTTTCTAGTTCTCCTTTGTTTCAGTTCTGTGTTCCAATTCTCCCTTGCTTCTTTGTTTACCGAGCTTAAGTACATTTTTTACAGGAGGCTTGAGAAGAGGATGATCGGACTGCATTTGATTTGTGCCTGGATGGACTGACTGACTCTACAGGGCCTTGACAAGAACCATACTGACATGATAACCTTCAGCTGAGGGAGAGGTAGCTTTTGCACAAACTTTTCCTTTGGTTGGTTTTTTGAGACAGGGTTTCTCTGCATTGATTTGGAGCCTGTCCTGGAACTTGCTCTGTAGACCAGGCTGGCCTCGAACTCAGAGATCCACCTGCCTCTGCCTCCCGAGTGCTGGGATTAAAGGAGTGTGCCACCAACACCCTGCTCTAAATAAAAAATTAAACAGTTAGAAATGATGGTCTGTATTAGTTATTCTTCTTGTTTCTATGACAAAATACCTGACAAGAAGCTACTTGAGGAAGGGAGGGAGGGTTTATGTAGCTTGAAGGGATTCTACAGTTGATCAGCCAAGGGGAGGCATGGTGGCTGGAGTCTGAAGCTGCTGCCCACAATGTATCCAGAGTGAGGAAACAGAAAGACAACAGGGGGCCAGGGTCTAAAACCTTACCAGAAACAGATCGGGCATTTGGCTTTTTTCACCTGGGACCCCTACATTGCCTTACCTTGTAGGGTTTCAGGACCATCCCAGGAGCCAAAGACAAAGTTGCCAGAGTATGGGCCTAACACGTGTCTGATGAAACTGTTCTAAACAACCTCTGAGGGCTGGTGATATGGTCCAGCCTGCCAAAGCATTTGCCATGCAAACTTGACCACCTGAGTTTGATCCCCAGAGCCTATGCAAAAAGGTGGGAGGAAAGAACCAACTCCCACAGTTGTCTCTGGCCTCCACAGGTGTGCCTTGGCACACTCCCCCTTTCCCTCCCCTCTTCTAAATACACACTCTCTCTCACACGCAATAGCAATACTTAAAAAAAAAACATGAGAAATGGGATTACCAAGTTTGTAAAACAGTGATTTGAAAGGTGTCGGTTTTGATGGCAATGGACAAAATAATCTGAGTAGTATGTTACTCTAGACACAATAAAAATAACTAGCAAAGGGAGAGAGAGCAAACGCCAAGGCTCTGGGCAACAGCAGGCTGCTAATGCATACCCAACTCAACTGTTGATCTTCCCTGCATTTGGGTCCTCTTTGTTGAGCACCTGAGATCGTGTAAGGGATAGTCGCTGCCTCTAATTTTGGTAAAAGTTAAAATTACATTTTGTCATTTATTGAAAAATGTCTTGAACGCTATGTGAAGACAACTTTAGCCAAATAGCAGCTGTGTCCATTTCTTTCCCATAATCCCCCTTGTTCAAGTTGATTTTTTTTGTTTTCAACAGACTTGATAAGGTTGTTTCCTCCTGCGTAAAGTATACGGAAATCACTGAGAAGCTATGGTGACTAGTACACCCAGATATCATACAATTGAGCCCCAATGTTAGCCTGAGGGATAAGTTATAACCAACGTACCTGTGTAACTCCCAGCCGAGCAAACAACCACAGAATGGACAGCTGGTGTCTACTTTGGGGAACAGGTGGTGGGTGGGTGTGGGCAAATGTGTAGTCCGTTAAACTTAAGATTTCAGCTGTTGTTTATTTGTGACACAATATGGACTGGCAAAACTTAGTGAGTTGTTCAGAGCCAGAGCAGAGTGTATTGGCACCACTGTGCAGTTAGAGCCCAGCCCATGCCACGCCATGGTATGCGTCGTACACACTCCATCAGGTTTTGCCGGGCAAACCTGCAGGTCCATTCCAGCTAACAGTCACTTCTGGGTGTCACTTTTTCCTTCACTCTCCAAAGCCTTTTTGATGGGTACACATGGTTTATTTATTCATTTTTGTGCTACCTTGAAATCCACACAAATACAACTCTCCTGAATGTGAAATAAAATGCAAGTTTTGGGGTGTCTACCCACTTTAGGATGAGGGTTATATAGAAATCTGCTCATAATAAAAACTGTTGACCACCATCACAAAAATAAGGATATAATATCAAAATAAATCAAAGGATATACAGTATTGTCATTATTCTGATACAGAATTTTTTTACATAGAAATATTGATACCAGTACAAATGGCAAGATATCAGGAAATCCATTACAATAGACCTTTGGGTTACAAATAAAAGTTTAAATTATAACTTAACACCGATTTTTAAATGATGACTCATATCATGCCAGATGAAAATCAATGCTTCCTCCTCAAGTGGCATTCTTTTGAATGTCCCCAGCAAGAAGATTTAAAAAAAAAGAGCTTCAAGTTAAAAAAAATGAAAAAGAAAATTTAATATTCCATTAGGAAGAAAATGAATTTTGCTTGAACAAATATAGAAAACTAGACCACATACTTCTAGTGTCCCATGAATTTTTTTTCCTCCCACCGGTTAAACAGCAGAACTGAAAGTTGCTGGACTAGATGGGTGTAGGAAAGTTCCAGAAGCACTCCCAACTTCTACTCCCAGTGAGCTGTCTGGAGTGTCTGGTTCAAATGCACCCTGGCCGTTTGAGCCTCCTCGGCGGGTCTACCAGCAAGTCAGGGTTGCAGAGACCCCATCCGGCAAGGAAAAAAAAAGAAGTTTCTGCAACAAAGTACCTACTCTTATTCTCCTATTTTTAAAATGCTTGTTCTTATTGGCATTCAAAACATGTCAAGCCAAAACATAAACAGGGAAATGAGAAGCCATTCCAGAACGCTTCGCCCTTTATATGTCTATCCAAAATCAAAACTCCCCTTCAAAAAAGAAAAAAAAAGTCACTTCGGAATGTTACTTGGAAAGCTGAGGAAGCGAGAGCATTTCTTTCTGGCATATTCTTTGTTTGACACAATCACAAGTGAGACTTGACAGACATTGTGCAGCAGAGGTTCACACTTCAACTTCCTACTTCAAAGCCATCACTTCCGGGCCAAACAGATAAACCGGTTGAAAGACGTCCGTAAACATGCCAAGCCTGGCAGGCAGGGACATGTGTGATGCATTCTCCGCCCCCAAAAAGGAACCTAAAAGAGACAAGGGGACCGACAGAGTCAGATTTTTCAATTTGTTTTGGTTTATTTAGTTCATGATATGTATGTACTTGTGTGGTGCGCGCACACGAGGGTGTGGGTCCATCCCCAAGCACATGAAGGCAGAGGCCAGAGCAGGCTGTTTTATTTTCCTGGGGCGTGGTCTCTTACTGAAGATAAGCTTGTTGTTTCAGCCCTCTCTACCCCTCCACCCCCAGTGTTGGGGTCACAGGCACTGAGCACTCATGCTTGGCTTTGTGTGTGTGCCCTGGGGTGATCTAGGGTCTGTGATTGCAGGACAAACATGCTCACCAACTGAGCCATCTGCCCTTCAGTCTGACGAAAAGAAAAAAAGGGGAAAAGAAAACAAATGAAGCCATTCTGTGGTTATTTGGATCCTAATCTTGTGTTACCAAATGTTCAATAGGTAACACGCAGCCCTTTACAGTATACATCATCTTTTCCATCCCTGCCATCAGCATGTGAAGATTTCAAATACAGACTCACACTTGTTTTACAGATGAGCGATGAAAGTACATAGATGAGAAAACATCCCACGTTCACACATCTGGAGCTGAAGTCGGCCTGGCTATAGATGGACCAGAAATGCAAAGCTGGTGTGTGTGTGTGTGTGTGTGTGTGTGTGTGTGTGTGTGTGTGTGTGTGTGTGTGTGTCTGTTGTGCACATACACATGTACGTGGATGTACATGCACATTTATGCAGGGTCCATGTGGAGGGTTGCAGCGGATGTTGAATACCTTCCTTCCTCAATCACTTTGCCATTTTGAGACAGGGTCCCTCAATAAAACTGGAGCCGGTCAATTCCAATAGACTGGTTGATCCCCGAACCCCGGGGTCCACTTGTCTTTTCCTGCTCAGTGCTGGGTTTACAGAGGGGGATAAAACTCAGGTCTTCATGCTTCTGTGGCAAGCCTGTCACTGAATGAGCTATCTCTCTAGCCCCTTGTCTGTTTTCCTTTTACAGTGTCTTGCTGTGTAAACTCCACAAGGACAGGCAAGCCTAGGCATGACACATGTATTCAATGGACAAGGATGAATCCCTAGCCAGTCAGAAATATGGAAATGCACACATTCATACACACACACACACACACACACACACACACACACACACCAAAGTTAAGTCACTGAGGATGTCTAGAGGGAAATCATGGAAAAGACAAGTTCAGTTTGAAAACTACCCAGAGGTTCTCAGCCTGACTCAGAGAAGGCCTGCTTCATGACCAAAGCCACTCCACAATCCCTGTACAGGCCACCAGTGGAGCCAGATCCAGGCGGTCAACTGACAGCTAGCACTCAAAATATGTATGCTTTCCAAACTTCAGAAACAAAGACAGGAAAGCCACCTGACCCTATAGGTACAAGGTCTGTAGCTCAGTTAACACCCTGGCCTGGTTGGGTGGCTTAGTCCTGTAATAGCACAACTCAGGATGCTCAAAAGGAGGGTCATGAATTGGAGAGTAGCCTGGGGGAGAGAGAAAAAGAGACAGAGAGAGACAGAGAGAGAGAGAGAGACAGAGAGAGAGAGACAGAGACAGAGAGACAGAAACAGAGAGACAGAGACAGAGAGACAGAAACAGAGACAGAGACAGACAGACACAGAGAATGTGAACCCTGTTTCCAGTTTCAAATGTTTTATTAACTGTCATTCTATGTATTTCGGGGCTATCCTAACAAAAGAAGCCATCCCACAGCAATACCTAGATGTTTTCAAGATATAGTTCTTTATAGATTAAAAAAAAAAGGCAAAGGCAAAACCTTCAGACAGTGGCAGAACCATTCCAACCTTACTCCTGGGTTGACCTGAGAGGGTGGACCCAATGCTCATGTACCAATTAAAAGCCAGGAGTCTTGGGTGTATCCCTTGGTGAGGCCATGCTCTCTCTCATTCTTCTTACCTCCTTTTTCTTTTTTCTTCTCTTCGCCCTTCTTCTTTCCTGCCTTCCATTTGCAACATGGCTCTGAATGGGTCAGGGAGATGATTGACATCAATAAACACAAAGGGAACGGAGAGAAGCAACAGAGGGCAGGGCTTGTAGTGTGGTTTCCAGGCAGAGCAAGGCACACAGCCAGGGCTCCCTGGTGCCTTTTGACTTTTTAATGAGTAGTTATTTCAAGGGGCTAAGCATGGTATCTATATACAGCCACACCATCCATGGGGCTCGGGCAGACGGTATACTCAGAATGGTTCTGCCATTGTGTGAGTCAAGGCTGCTGAGCTATGATGGAAGTAGGGGGGAGGTGGCTACCACCCAGAACACATCTAACAGCTGGGGTATAGCTAGGCCAGCCTCAACAATGACAACTGGGCAATGTGGGATGTGCCTACCAGTTACCTTTGCATCCTGACTCTGAGATTTTGCAAGACTTCTCCAAGCCAAGCCTTAGTGTCCAATATGGACCAGTGACTCTCAATTACCAGGGATGATTCTGTCCATACAGCAATATCCAGCCAGTTGTGTCTGTCACAGCTGGGATTGGTGTGTGTGTGTGTGTGTGTGTGTGTGTGTGTGTGTGTGTGTGTAGGTGCTAGAAATGTTTTACTAATCCAGGACAGCCCTCTCAGAAAACAGTGAGCTAGCTCAAAATGTGCATAACTACTATCCAGCAGCAATATTAAAGAAGCTGTGCCTGTCCCAGGCAAGTAATGTAAAATAATCATCCCATTAAAGGGTCATACATACACAGGATTCAGCGAAGCAAGTTTCAAGCTGATATACTCCCTACTACCTCCAACCCCTATTCTGGAAAGGAAAAACCCTTTGCAGGAACATCAATCCAGACTGCATCTAGGAATTCCAAGGTCCCTCATCCTGATGCTTGCCTTTTCTCAGGCAAACAAAACAAGATCCAAACTGCATTTTTTCCTTCCAAGCATCCTTTCCAAGCAGCCCAAGCTCACCGCAATTTTCTTTCTCTCTTGAAGTCCCTACTGCTAAACAGCATGGGTCCTGAAACCCTCTATTTTCTAGACTCTTGCTTGCTTCTCCTGGGCCCATTCACTTCCAAGGTCAGAAGCCTCAGAAAATGAAGCAAATGGGTGTCCATACATAGAGTAATGAAATGTTTACATCCGTCCACATTCTAACCACAAGTCCCAAACCTGGTAGCTTGCTTTAGAATGAGTGGAAGACCAACCTCTTACAGCCTACACTTCCAAACAGCAAATTCTAAACTCACGGAGACAAAGCATAGTTCTTGCTTGCTTGTGGTGTTTTTAAAGAGAAAACTGAAGCATAGACCTGTAAAATCCTACAGGGATCTGAGGCAGGCGGATGGTGGGTTCAAAGCCAGCTTGGGCCACTTAGTGAGATGCTATCTCAAAGTAAAAGGAAATTGTGAGCCTGAGTATATAGCTCAGTGGCAGAGTGCTTGCCTAAGTGATGAGGTCCTGCCTTCAGTCTCCAGTCACACACACACACACACACACACACACACACACACACACACACACACACACACACTGGGGAAAGGGAGGGAGGGGGAAACATGACTCTGTAGTCAGGGAACTGTTTTCTATTATGACTGCATGATTGCCTGTTGCTGAATTGTCCTTCAGTTTTGCAAGATGCCACCATCTGGAGAAACTAGGTATAGGGTGAAGGTTGAGAACCCTGACTTAAACTGCTGTATGTTTCTGTCCGGTGACACTGTCAACTTGAACTTGCAGCCACAGTTCTGATGATGCTCCAAGAAGTCACTGCACTAGTGACTCTTGATGTCCATAGTAGGAAGAATAAGGAAATCACACATTATGTTCTCTCTAACCATCTCTTACTAAACTGTCACATTAGTTATCTGTTAGTCTTACCAAAAATGCTCAACATTAACAAATACACTTAGAATCTTTGGAAACAGCATATACTTAAGTTATATTTACAGTGTTTAGTCATATTACTTTCAAAACAGGAATCACTAATAAAGTTTGACATCCTCAAAAACTTCTTTAGTGAGACACAATTTTTTTTCAGAAAAAGGTAATGTATAGGCCAAGTTTTAAAATAAAATTTAAAAAGAAATTGTAGCTGGGGGGTAGGTGCACACCTGTACTGTAATCTCAATATTCAGGAGGTAAGGTTATAAATTCTACATAGGGAGAAAGTGTAGAAAAATGAACGAGAAACAGAGACAGAGAGGGAGAAGGAAAGAAAAAGGAAAGGAAAAAATACTGTTAAAATGTGTTTATAAAAGTGGGTGGGGTGGGGAAATGGCTCAGTCAGTTAATTGCTTGCTGTGCAGGCATGAGGACCTGAGTTCTCACCCCAGTGTCCACATGAAGGCCAGGCACAGCATGTGTCTGTAATACCAGTGCTGAAGAGCTGAAGACAGCTGGATGACCGGCAAACACACACCAGCCAGCAGCCTACCTAAACCACGATCATTTCATGGATCAATGAAGTCCAGTCTTAACAAATGAGGTGTAAATTTAATGAGGAAGATGACAATATTGACCCCTGGCCTCAACACACACACACACACACACACACACACACACACACACACACACACACCTATGCAAACATATAATGGAGACACACATACAAAGAGGATTGGGGCTGGATGTGTAGGGAAAGCAGTTACCTAGCATGGACAAAGCTCTATGTTTAACTCCAGTACAAACAGACCAGAAGATGGAACAACCTTAAAGATGAGCTCAGAACACCTCTTAAAATTAATAAATAAAAATAAAAATAGTAAAATAGTAAAAAAAAAAGTTAAGCATTAATTATATTCATCGAATGCAATAGAAAACCTGGCATAAAAATCCTCCTTCTTAGTTCTTGTTTTTTAAATTATGAAAACAACAATCTAATAAAAATCACAATGTAAACTATTAATAAGAAATTAAGATACTGTTTTTATAACAGAGTTTTCTAAAGACATTATTCCATGAGTCACTCAAAGTATCAAAAAATGAGTACCAGTTAAAGCCATTGTTTCCCATGAAATGTGATTTCTCCAGGTAAACTAATGTTTTGGGCTCTTTGCTTCCTTGTTTATTTTGCTTTTGGTGGGGATTGGGATTGAATTCAGGTCTGTGGTTACATTATGTCCTTGCTCTAACCCTGAGCTACTTCTACTAGAGACTTATTCCCTAGCCCAGGCTGACCTTGAGCCTGGGATCCACTTGCTTCAGGGCTCCAAGTGCTGAGATTATAGCCATGTGCAATCAAGTTCCACTGTTTTATTCCACTTTGAATGATCAAACATAAAGTAGAAACCTCTGCCTTTTTAGAATGATAGTCTAACAACAACTGTAAGTCCACAAGTCAATGGATGGACTTGAAACAGAGCAAAGGACTGACTTCAAAACAGCCTGTCTCCACCTACTGCTTGCTGCACCTCATCTCAAATACTGTTCTATTCATTCAAAGTCAGATTTGGGGGCTACTGACTATGCCAACTTGAAGCAAGAGAAATAATTTTCCATAAAGGCTCTATAGTTTTAAAATTTACTAAGAAAACCATCCCTGAACTTGAGTAGAAATGAAAAACTGTATTGTAATGTTCATCAGGGCATTATTTATAAAAACATTTTTCTTTACTTATCTTGGAGAGAATGTAGCTGAGAACATTCTAGAAGAACTACATTTTTCTAGACTATACTAACTTAATCTTCACCTAGATTACTAACTCCACCACTGACCCTGAAAACAGCTCATCAAAATGACCTTTCAAATCTTCCAGGGTAGGAGAAAAGAATATAAAATGCCAAAAAACCTGAGTTCTAGAAATATATTTCATGCAGACATCTCCATGGGGGAAGGTGAACATTACATGAAATCTTGTATTTGAGCACTTCTGCCAGTTTATCACTTGGTTTTATTATAAAACCATAGTTATTTATGGGTTCCTTTATTTGACCTGCCATGAAGACAAATTGTGGGGGCATAAATAGGGATGTGCGAGAAGAGAGACTCACTTGCTTTCAGAACTGGCATTGCACCAAGTATGAACATCAAGTTAAAACCTAGAAACAAAACTCTGTGGCTTTTTAAATATCAAAAATAGCAAAGGAGTCCCTGTGCTGGCCCTGCCCTGCCCTGCCCAATTGAGCACTCAGCTAGCCTCTTTCTAATTTTAGCTTTACCTTCTTGGGGTCTTATGAAGAGGAACCTTGATGGAAGGTTAGCCTTGGAGATTATTGTAAGAATGAGATACTCCTACTCCATGCCTCAAATCAATCAAAATCTAGGACTGAGGCCTCCTACAACACACTTTCAAGAGACAGCCACGAAGGAAGCTGCCACATGATGTTGCAAAAGATACCCATCCCAGGGGATGAACCATTGTCAACAGAAATACAACACTAATGAAAAAACACAAGCAGTTAAGTATGAAGGCCAGCACAGGATCTAAAGAACTGACAGGGGTCATGGAGGAAACAAGGTGCTCCTACAGGTCAGATATAGAAACATTACTTGGGAGGAAGTGAGCATGGGCCTGTTGCTGGCCTGCCTTCTGGTGCCCTGCGTGGAGCCTCCTGGGGTCTGGGGACTGTGCACAGGGAAACGCATCCCAGTGGTACAGCCCAACCAGAGTCTGCTGACTTCGAGGTGCTAGTCCCATCTGCACCCCTGGGAAGAGGAGAACCATTGGAGTATTGGACCTGCTTGCACCCACTGAAAGAAGGGATGAGAAGACAGCAGTGTAAGAACACATTAAACAACAGAAAGATCAATATGACACCACCAGAGTCTAGGAACTCCACACCAGCAAGACCTGAACATCCCAACACAGATGGAGCAGAAGAGAACAACCCTACAAACAACCTTATGAAGATGATAATGATAGAGACCCTAAAAGAGGAAATGAGAAAATCCCTTAAAGAAATGAAAGAAAGAAAAAACAAATTCAACAAATAGAGGAAAATACAAACCAAAAATTGCAAAACATAAACAAGTCTCTTACAGAAAACAAGGAAAGCCAAGAAAAAACAACCAAACAAGTAAAGAAAACC